TAACATAATAACATAATGAACCAAACAATTATTCAAGCTCAATTAAGAACAATCTAGAACTCAGATTTCTTAGATAGAACAGCCTGCTCTCGCAGAGCTGCTTCTTTTGTGGAGCGAGCTTGACATCTAAGCTCTCGCTTGGATCAAGGGTCGGTAGCAAACATTAAAGCACTGATCTAATATGTTCACAAAATACTCTGATATCTACTCTCGCTGATCAAGGATATGATGCTCGTGTATAACAAATCTAGCAACCTAATTAATGGTTAATGATAAAAGGTTAAACCTAGATTCAAACACTAAGTGATTAGATTAGTATTAGGATTAGGAGCAGTCATAAACGAAGACAACAATATTAGCTTATCTATGTTCAGTTCATGAATCAATACCCTAGAGAACCCTAGGCTAACAAATCGACTACGCAGCCATAACACAAGAAAACACAGAGATCATAATAAGAGAATACATGAAATAACACTGCAACAAAAGAGAAATATGGTTCACGAGGTCTTCTCTAAACGAGAGAGATGAAGATCCTTCTCCCTTTACAAAGTGCAAAATATCAGATCCCTCAAAGCTCAAGTCTCGTTTCTTTTTGTGTAAAACTAGCGAGAAAAGTAAAGAAAAATAGGAAAAAAACTATGTCTAAAGGCCATAGGTGGCTGGGAGAAGAAATTAGAAAAGTTATGGAAAATCTCAAAATTAATCAGAAGTTTCCATAATTTTCAAGGAGCAGACAGGGATTGTTCTGTTTGGGATGCTCCGCGGCAGAAAACTTCCAATTTTCATTATTTTCTTCATGTGTCTCTCCAAATGTCTCCTTACCTAATTCAGACATGTAATGACTCAAAAAGGACTAGAAAGACTCGATAAAGACTTGAAAACAATTAAGAAAACATATATAAAAGATGTCAAAAACACCATATATCAAGTTACTCCAAATATAGTGTGAAAATAGAGTCACCCTATTATATAGTGTGATATTGAGTGGGATCAGAGAATATTTTACTCTAGAGTTTAGAGTAGAAAATAGAGTGGGTTTGAAGATGCCTAATAGAAGAAAAATGGGTTTATGCTATATATTAAAGTAACTTATTTTTTTATTCATCACTCTATTTTTCACTTAAAACTAGAATACCATTGGATAAATAATCAACTCTATTATTGAATTAATCTATTTTACAGAGAAAAATAGAGTAACCCATTGAATATAGTCTATTCCATATATTGCAATGATAAACCATCGTATATGCTATTACTAGGGGTTGGCCTGTCCAACGGGCGGGTGATTTTACACTAAAATTATTTTATATTACATATCTTTTAATTTTATAAAAATTTGAAATTTAATTTATTTTAAATTAACAAATATAATATTTTTTTCTTCTAAAATCTTATTGTGAATTCTATTAAATTTTGTTGTTTTTCATTGAAAATACCACATATTTATTTTTGTTAGAGAACACAAAATTATTAAATTAAATATTAAGCAAAATGTAATGGTTTATATTTTTGATTTATAGAGTTGAAGAAAATATAAAGTAAGAATAAATAATATTTTTTCTAAGAGTATCATATTTTAGTATTATTACAATAACTAAATTTCTCAAGATAATAAATTAATACACCCACCTCCAAACTAAATCAACTAAAAATCAAATGTAATGTGATAAAATTGTAAAAAGTTATATTTTAAAGTAATGTAGAAATATATTCAATATTGTCATAAATAATAATTAGTATATAGTATGTAACAGCAAATGATGTTTTATAATATATGTTTGCGTCATTATATAATATTTTTTATATTGATCATGATTTTTTTCTTTAAATTTTAGTGTTCTGCTAATTATTTTTTGTAAATTATTGTGTTGAACTTTTTCTATAAAAAAAATATTTTATGGAAATTTCACTCATGCTATTCAAAAATATTTTTATGGATTAATAGTGTTATAAATTAATAAAGTAATACATCTCTAGCAGAATTTTACTTTAGTTTTATACCTTATCATATTAAATAATTTACTTCAAATAAGTTAGAGAATCAAACGTAAGTTCACCAAAATAACTTAAATGTAGAGTAAACATTAATAATCTAGAAATTAAGATGAACAAAACTGATGACAAAAATAAAAATATAAATAAACCAAACTGCCTACAAATATTTTATGAAAATTCTTCTCTCTTGAAAGACTAAAACCAGAAGATGTAACTAAATGTTTAAATTTTTTCAGTGTTGGATGTAATGAATGAAAGTATATAATTCCTATATAATCAAATATATCATTCTCAGCTCTCACATAGTAACAAAGATAACATATACAACATACATAATTACATAATAAATGGAATTAGTTATTTTTAAAGTCTGGTATTTTGGAGAGAGATTAGAACCTAAAGAGAATGTCCAAACGGAAAAAAATATGATGTAAACTCTCTTTGGCTCTATATTTATGTTTAACAATTCCGAGAGATCGAATTAAAGAAGAAGTGTGAGAATTTTTGAATGAATACCACAATTGACAAAAATTATGTATCAAAGAAAGTGGAGCCGACTTACTTTCATCTCTTAATCTCAGATATTAAACACCTATCATTTACTAACAAATATATCTTTTTATATATTCATAAGAAAATGGTTTAAAATTAGGGATTTTCTTATAAAATATTTTATTTTTATTTTGACTCTTGCTTGTAACACATAGAATATAATGAACATTATTCGTTTGTATATGTTACCGAGATTGATGTTAAAAAATTTTGATAATATGACAAGAAAAATCAGAAGAAAACGTGGCACAGGACGGGAGTGCATAGTTGTTTGTGTCTTTTAACTTTCTTGTCTCTGTCATTGACTTATCAAAATACTACTTTGATCTTCCATTTCATGTTTAATGGTTAAACTAAAGATGGCATTCATACAAATTAACTTATTATCAAATATTTCAAATCATATAAATGTCCCTGCATTAACCATGATCATAGTTACACACAATAGTCAGTGAGAAGAAATAGAATATTGCAGCTTAACTCAGTTGCAGACTCAGGAGGAGGTTTATACTTAGAGAAAGAAATGAAACCATTAACATTTTACGGTAAAATGTTTACCAAAAAAATGAACCATTAACATTTTACAGTAAAATTTGTACCAAAAAAAAAATGAAACCATCATTATCTCTATTATGAACATACATGTGTGTTTTGAGTCATGTGCTACTTCGCAGAAGACTGTATATTGCATTCATTAATTCACGTCAGTCACAAACCCATCAGTTTGGTAACATTAATATTTGAAAACAAAGACATCAGACATATGAACAAGACATGAGGCTGAAATATCTAATAATCAAAGCATATTAAGACTTAATTATTATTATTTTTTATCTCAGTTCAAGTTGTGGTGCAAGAAAATATCGTGAAATCTGCAATTTAACATAGAAATTGTTTTGAGAATAAAACAGTTTTGAGATGTAGGAATTGCAAACAAAAATGCTAAACTGATATATATATATAGATCATGGTGTTTAATTTTGCTTACAAATTAAATAGAGGAAAAAACATAGTGGTCTTACGTTTTAAAAGATGCCATATTCCGCATCAATCTGGTAATCTTCTCATCTTACCTTTCTCTGAAACTATATTCAATCGTTTTTGTCTATACTTCCGAAACTCTAACTTTATCCAGAATCCTTCTTCTTCCCTTTATACTTTTCGGCGCCACTGCAATTTCACCAATCTCCAAATATTGAAACTGATTTTGGTTTTCAACAGCAAAGGGATGATATCATAGACAGTGGACAGGGCTGGAACCATCAGACCGGAGAATGGGATCATCGTTGATGAAGACTAATTAAAAAGAGGAAAACCACATGAGGAAGAAGCGAATTGTTTGATCTTTTACTTAAGTTTGTAGAGAATGTCTTCAGAAATTTTATAGTAAAAATAGTTGTGATTTAGTGGAATGAATTTAAATCGATAAATTAGGGTCTTGGATATATGTTATAAATTTTCATCGAAAACGTTACAATAGAAGTTGGGGCCACAAATTTGCTTTTAAACTCAAATCCAATTTACAAAATAATATAACAAATGAGAGAATGACACGTGGCAGCAAACATCCCATGGAAAGAAATAAGTTTACCTTTTCTTTTTTTTTGTCACAGAAATAAGTTTACCTTATTTATTAAGATTCCACTAGCAAAGCATTATCAACTGTATAAGGCATCAATATTTAGAGTAAAGATCGTTTTAACGTCCCCATTATGAACATTAATAAGCTAACACTTGCATGCTGGTTTTCGGTTAGCATTTTTGACCCCTCATTAAAAATAGGGAAACTTACGAGTACGTTATCTCTATTGAGTAAGTCATCGAGAAACGATCTCTGACCTCTGATGTTAGGCTTACACTAAACCATATGTATAGAAAACATACAAAAAGATTTTATTCGTTTTGTCCTTTGAATAAATGTTACCAAGAAATTCTGATGCTGCAGAGAGAACTGCTTAGAATCAAACCTTTTTCATTCATCAGCCATAAATGAAAATTACAAAGACGCAACCTTTGGATTCGTTTTCTTCTGTCTTTCCTTTGTAGTCAGAGTCTTTAGGCTATTTTAATTGAAAAGAAAAAACACAACACAACGGGCAACAAAAAAGAGGAGCTTCATGTGTGTTCTCTGTCTGTGAATGTGTGAAGCACTTAGAAAAGGGAAAAGAGACAAGCGTGGTGTCTGGATGTTCGAGCCTTCAGTTGGTGGGTGTGTTGTTGCGAATCTCTAAAAAAAATTCTATATTATTTATATATATATATATGTTAATATGTATGTTTCCAACGTGAAAACTCCATAAACAATACTTCTTTTAAAGTGACTCTTTCCTCCAAAACTCTTTAAAGAAGCTTTCTTGAGAATAAAGTTTGAGCATAGATCTCTTTAGCCTTGTTTCTCTTTTGGGCCAAAGATCTTCAAACTCTTGTGTGCTTAAAGAGAGAATAAAAAAATGAAGTTTATGAAACTTGGATCCAAACCTGACTCGGTTCAATCAAACGGAGACAATGTTAGGTATGTAGAAACATATTTTCACATCTCTCTCTCTGTCTCTTGATGATACTTAGAATATGGTTTCTTGCTCTTAGGTATGTAGCAACTGAGTTAGAAACAGAGCTCACCATCACCATCGGCAATATCAAGTTCTATTTGCATAAGGTATGAACAACTCTTATAAGCTTATATAAATATTCAAAAATAATCAAAATCAGATACATTTTAAAGTACTGTTTTCATGTTTTCCAGTTTCCGCTTCTTTCCAAAAGTGGATATCTCCAGAAACTCATAGCAACATCAAGAAATGAAGAGAAGAAGAACCAAGTTGATGAGATTGACATATCAGAGATTCCTGGTGGCTCTGTTGCTTTTGAGGTTTGTGTCAAGTTCTGCTACGGCATCACGGTCACCTTAAACGCTTACAACGTGTTTGCAGCTCGTTGCGCAGCTGAGTTCCTGGAGATGAATGAAACTTTTGAGAAGAGCAATCTTGTTTACAAGATTGATGTGTTCTTGAACTCAACTATCTTCCGTAGCTGGAAAGATTCCATCATTGTCTTCCAGACCACAAGAGATCTCTCTCCTAACTACTCTAATGAGTTTACCCTTAAGCTTGTCAAGCGTTGCCTCGACTCCATTGCTTACACAGCTTCCATAGACACCTCAAAAGTCGAGTGGTCTTACACTTACAACAGGAAGAAGAAGCTTGATGAGAAAGCTGTTCCAAGAGACTGGTGGGTGGAAGATCTATGTGAGCTTCATATCGATTTGTATAAACAAGCCATCGAAGCTATCAAGACGAGAGGGAAAGTGCCCGTTGAAGTCATTGGAGAAGCGTTACATGCTTATGCAAGAAGAAGAATAGATGGTTTCAGCAAAGGTTTAGTGCGAGCTATTGACAAATCTTTGACTGATTCAATCATAGAGCTTCTCCCTGATAAGAAAGGAAGTGTTTCCTCTAGTTTCTTGAGTAAGCTTCTTCGAGCATCGGTCTTTCTTGGATGCGAAGAAACTGTGAAAGATAGGTTAAAGAAGCGGATTAGCGAGCAGCTTGAAGTGACAACAGTAAGTGATATCTTAATGTTTGATATAGACATGCTGAAGAGCCTAGTCAAGGAGTTTATGGACCGTGACCCGAAAACTCACTCAAAAGCATCTGTTGCAAAACTCATTGATGGATACTTAGCTGAGAATTCAAAAGACCCTAATCTCCTTCTCCAGGACTTCCTCTCTCTCGCTGAAACAGTCTCTAGCTTCCCAAGACACACTCATGATGGGTTATACCGCGCCATCGACATGTTTCTGAAGGTAAAACAAGATGCATATCCTTTGTTTTTCATAATGCCATAATGATAATGGTTCTTGATTCTAGTGAGTCATTTTGATTTTGGAATGTTTTAGGAACATCTGGGGGTTACTAAAAGCGAGAAGAAGAGATTGTGTGGGTTAATGGATTGTAGAAAACTTTCAGCTGAAGCGTGTGAACATGCGGTGCAGAATGAGCGTTTGCCAATGCGGGTGATTGTGCAAGTTCTGTTTTTTGAACAGATTCGAGCCAATGGTTCATCAACAGGATACAGTACTCCTGAGCTCACCACAACGACGCTGAACACTGAGGATGATGAATGGGACCGTTAGACAGCGTATTGATCTCAGCATTAATGAATCTTTCTCTTTTGTGTCCCACTAGATTCAACAGTCTTTGTAGCACAATTTATTTAAGTTTCCTTATGAACTGAAAACGTTTGGTTCTTGATTTTTCTAAATGGGCCAAGTAGCAACGGGTCCTAGTCAAGAGCTTTGTGTCTGGTCTTAAGCCCGTTCTCTGCCCCTACTTAAATTTAAGTTTGTTTAAAATTTCTATTGAATATTAGCTAGCATGAGTGGATATACAAACTCACGGCTTCAAATACTCCATCTCCATTTTTATCACTCAGTTGATGAATCTTTGTCAGAGATTTACAATTGGTGTTGCACTTCCGTTCTGTTCAGTATGCAAATGTAATTGTTAAATATATATGATTAACAACAATGTGACTACCAGTAAATTCGTTTTGTCGATCTCTAGGAAAGTAAGTAGAATAAACAAAGATATTTTAGGGTAAATACATATATTTTAGGGTAAATAACCAAAGAACTGCATGTAATTAAGTAAATTACAATTTTATGCCTATCATAGGTATGAGACATACGTAATATTAAGACGTACGGAGAAAATATGAAATGGCTATTAAAATTTTATTGGAGATTTTTATTTCTGTTACTTTTTTTCTTTTTCATCTTTACTTTTTGGGAATTAACTCCATATACCCCATGCCCTCATAAACTCAACCTTACTACCCTAACCCTATTCATCCTATCCCTTTATCCTTGCACTTCCTAAATTAGCCTTGCATCTATTTATTCCCCAATTAAATAATTCAACCATATCCCAACTACCTATATGGCCCACATAGGCAACCTTAACCAATCAAATTTTTTTGTCCCCACATGTCTTCATCTTCCTCGTCCTCTCTCCTCTCCCTTAGCTCTCCATTGGCGAAAATTGAAGCTTCAAAAACAGGTAAATCTTGCTCGTTTTTGTTGATTTTTTTTGCAAAATAACTTGTAAATATCATATATATATCGGCTATTGTGAAAAGAAGAAGATCCCTTGAAAATATGAGAGTTTAAAAAAACTTTTAAAAA